GATGGAAGCAATTTACCTGTGAGTTAATGTACCTGTTTAGCAAGCTTGATTCCTACTAGATCAGTGTGGGCAGATGTCTGATGGGTTCTCATCAATTATGCTGTTAGATACCACTAAACTATTTTGTATCAAAGAACTGTATCTTTTTGTGAATACTCTTATGTAAATATACTCAAAGTCACTGTTCATATTTTTAGGGCTTGTATTATAATTTGTAAGGTTTTATGCTGGATTCTGCATGACTATAGATACAAAAACAGGACTTGCTCTTCTTTCCAAAAATGAGCAGTCTTCATAAAGGAAGACAGGTTTATCAGTATGGTCATAAAGTAACAGAAATGGTCACACTGATCATGAAGGAAGTGGAATAGGTTTTGTGCAAATTAATGTAGTTTCTTATTTATTGCTTTTGTAAATTGAATAAAAATGGACTTTTATATAAATAGACTGCTGAATCCTGTATTATCACAGCTACTAAAAATGAGTGTGTAAAGAATGCATTCTTCATTGTAAACTTTTAAAATATTTTATGTATTTCTAGATATGACTTAGTTTTCATACATTATGAAAATAGAACTGCATACTCCTTAATTGCTTTGGACTAAACACATGTCCACTGTATGTAATTCTAATTACCTTATAACAGTATTAATTTAGATAGCTTGTTTGTACTGTGCAATTTGAACAAGGAATGCAATGTTATTTTTTACAAAAACAAACTTGTTTATTTTTATAATGGTGTATTTGATGTGGACCAAATTCATACCACTATGTAAAATAGGCTCTCTTCCCATAGTGCAATTATAGTTTGGAAACAAAACATGGTCCTCTATCCTTGCTTTTTAAAGTAAATGGCTAGATTCAGTTGTCTTAGCCAGGTTTCCTTTGAAGGGAAACTCAGTACCATTTTGAAATAGCTTAGTTCAAACTTTATCAAACTATCTAAAATTACTGAGTTGGGTAATTTACTTTTTACATTACAAGTGCAATAATTTTACATAATAAAACTCCTAAATGGGTGGAGTATGTGATTATGAGTACCTAGTCCTTCTGGTGCTATTTTTATTTAAGACTTTGTTTCAAACTACCTGTCCCTGAATCTTAAGATCATGTTTTGCATGTGAGTACATGCAGCCCAGCAAGAAACTAAACCGAACTTTCTTCTCCTGTCCTAGTCCATTAGGGAGAAGAACCAGCATTACTTTTGTGTTTGGTGTGAATATTCAATCAATAAAAATGATGTACCAATATAAAGAGCTGTGATTTTTTTCATATATCTTAAATAAAACACTGTGCTGATGAGTTGATCTCACATTCTTAAAAGTAGGGCACCAGTAAGTTAACTGTATTCCTGTGGTGTTTAGGCCATGAATGAATGAATGAATGAATGTTTTCTTCCACTTTACTTCCATAAAGTATTTGTTTTTCAACTAACAGAAATAGAAGGCCCCAAGGCATGAAATTTGGCAAGTTTACAGAAAATTTCTCTTTGGTAATTCATTTTTATTTTTTATAAACTTTAATTTTTAAAACTCCATTTTTATTTTGCCATGTTCTTTGGTTCACATATCAACTGTTTAAGCCATCATTTTAACCAGTGAATGTAAATATTCAGTATAACTATTTGAAGTTTACGGATACATTGAAATTATTTGCTGATACCAAAACAAGAAGTCATTGAAGGTGGGTGGGAATCAACTTTTGCTTGTAATTAAAGTTGCTGCTACTTCTGTGATGTGTATTTTAACTTGGTAAAGGGCAATAAAACTATTACACAAACTTTTGTTTATTGATCATCTCGGGTTAACAGCAAAAAGTACATATAGTAAAAGCCATAGAAATACTCTTTTCATTGTAATTCCACCTCTTAGAATTTTCCTTGTGAAATAAGTAGAAATACAAATTTATTTAAAATCTATCTTTATGTGTAGCTTTAGAGTGGGAACATTAAGGGTTGGCAGCATCCGAGATGCCTGAAAATCGAATATTGGAAGAAACAATCCATGTTGATGACATGGAAAATGTTCACAATATAATGAAATTACAGAAAATTATGTATACCATATTGTATCCACCAAACAAAAAGTGTATTAGGAGACTAGGCATCATCTTTTAATAAGTGGTATTAAAAATGATTGTGACTTTTTCCTGTATTCCTAAATAATGCAGTCTCCATGGATTTTCCTATTCTGGACATTCTATATAAGTGGAAACATATATGTGGACTTTTCTGTCTTTTATTTGGCATGATGTTTTCAAAGTTTATTCTTAAATAGTACCACTTCCTTCCTTTGAGGTTGAGTAATATTCTGTTATGTGAATAATTTAATTATTATTTAATTGTGTGAATACATTTGTTTATCCATTGAGTAGTTGAGGGTCATTTGGGTGTTTTCCCACTTTTTTGCTATTTTGAATAACACTGCTGTTAACATTAATGTACACGTTTCTCTGTGTGGACATATGTTTTCAGTTTTCTCTAGGAGTACAGCTACTGGGTCATAGGGTAACTGGTTAATTTTTTCAGGAAATGCCAAATCACATTCCAAAGCACCCGCACCATTTTCTATTACCAGTAGTGGTAGATGTGAAAGTTCCAGTTTCTACCACCAAAACATGTTGTCTTTTTGTTGTAGCCACCCAAGTTGTGTATGAAGTGGAATATCATTAATGGCTCATGTACATCTTTGAAGAAAAATGTCAATCACATCTTTTGCCTGTTTTTCAATTAAGTCATTTATCTTTTTGTTGATTATAAGAGTTCTTTATATATTCTGGATGGTAGACCCTTATCAGATATATGATTTTCAAATATTTCCTTATTCTTTTCACTTTCTTGATAGTGTCCTTTGAAACACCAAAATTTTTCATTTTAAGTACAATTTCTTTCTTTGGTTGCTTGTGCTTTTGGCATCACAGATAAGAAACCACTGCCTAATCCAAGTCATGAATATTTATGCCTAAGTTTTCTTCTAAAAGTTTTATAGTTTTAGCTCCTACAGTCAATATTCAATGCATTTTAAGTTAATTTTTGTATAAAATATGAAGTAGGGGTCTAACTTTGTTCTTTCATGTGTGGGTATTCAGTTGAGCACTATTTATTGAAAACTTTTTGCCATTTAATTGTCAAAAATCAATTCACTATAGGTATATAGGTTTATTTCTGGACTGTCAATTGTATGACAATAATTTATTGTCTGTCCTTAGGCCAGTATTACACTGTTGATTACTGTTGCTTTGTAGGAAACTTTGAAAGTGGGAGTCTTAAGTTTGTTTTTCAAGGCTGTTTTGGCTATTATGGGTGCCTTGCAATTCCCATGATTTTTAGGACTGGCTTGTCAATCTCTGCACAAAAGAAAAGGTAGGTGGGATTTTGATAGGGGTTGTATTCAAATGTAAATCAATTTGGAGAATATTGCCATCTTAATATTAAGCCTTCCAATCCATGAACAGGAAATGTCTTTCCACTTATTTAGGTCGTCTTTAATGTCTTTTAGCAATGTTTTGTCATTTTCAGTATATGTCTTGTACTTATGTGAAACTTATCCCTAAGTATTCTTCTGATGCTACTGTAAACGGAATTCTTTTTTTTTTCTTTTATTTCATCATATTATGGAGGTACAAATATTGTTAGGGTTACAAATATTGCCCCTGCCCCCTCCCTCCCCCCGGTATGTCCAATCACCTGGTGGTGTGCATCACACACGTTATGGAAGCATACAGTACCCTTTCCTCCTCCCCACTCCCGCCTGCCCACCACCCGATAATAAGTTTTGGGTTTTTTTTTAACATTTTGGTTACATTGTATTTCTTTGCCTCTCCCTAAGAAGGGTTAGAGTTATGCCCTCCCCCTCCAAAATGCTCATCCCATCCCTAAGATTGGAATTCTTAACTTCATTTTTGGATTGTCCCACTTGGTCATGATGTAGGGCCAAATTGGAGAAAAGAAATTGTCAACATATATTTTTTACAACTCAAATATGGAAGTAGTGGTGGCAAAAAACACATTGATGTACTGCAAAATTTCATAAGTATTTCAACTGAAGACAGTTTAAGAGGCATAACTGCATCTTGGTTTTACTGGCCCTAAAAGAGGAGGGAGAGGTATTAGGTATAGAATTTATTCAGCTGTTTTACCTTATAGTGAACTGTTCTGAGCAAATTCAATCAGAAAGCTAAATAAATTGCAGATTTTTGAACTCTGAAGTGGATGCTCTATTTTGGTGAGTGGTGGTACCTTTTCCTTCTGTGGAGATTAGACTAAGCAGTGGGCGCTGCTCTGGCTTAAAGGCAATTTCTACTCTCCCTCCTGCCCCTTCTCCACAGTAAAAGGATGCCCACCCTTCATTAGTCCTTTGGTGAATTTTTTATTTCCCAATGGAGATGTTTTAAAAACCCCTAAATATGCTGAAGCTCAACATTTACCAAATAATAGGCCACTAATTTCTATGAAATTTAGATGCACCATTTCATTCCAAGGTAAAAAAAGGATTCCAACTGAAGTTAAACTACCTCCCATTAAAATAGCCATTACACCCACATGAGCCATCTTTAACAGCAATTAACCACTTCGGTACCAGCCTCAACTATAGTTGATAGCCACAGATGAACACGCACAGTGACTTTAGCCAACAGCCGTGATATGACTTTTCTAATTTTTCATTTATCAAAATAAAACTGTGAACATTTAAAAATAACGTAATAAAAATATATGTATATGTTACCTATTCTGATTTACATTACAAGGAAAGCTGCCTGTAAAGTAAAACAAGCTTTCAGTGCTTTCAAGCTTTCCTCATCCCACAAGAGCAAAACAGATTCGTCGTCAATGCACAGCACAAACTACCGTGCGGACTGTGAGTGCCGGCCATGGGCAAGGTTTCGCGGCCGGTGAGCACCGTACTGAAGTGGTTAAAAGGCTCGTGCACATAAAATAACCCTTGAAATATGGGGGATATGGGAGAACATAGATCTGTTTTGTGTTAAAAAGATACAAACCAGTATGTTAAAAAGTTTATTTCAGTAACATTGTAAGGCAACAATTAATCGTCAACACATCGGTAAACCAGTGAAAGAAAAGGGACAGACATAATCATTCTTCCTACAGCTTCCTGAGTCAGCAGGCTGGCTTGTGGCCCCCTTGGTGGTAACATCTTAAGGAATCCAATCATGCTTGTTTACATCTGTTAAGTTGTGGCAACAAAAACTTCATGCAACAGTCATTCTTAGGTCAAACAAAGAACAAACTACTTTGAAATCACAATTCTTCACACTTTCCCTGAATATGCAGTACTGTATTTGCTACTTAAATTCTGTAGAAAATAATGCATTTGTTTGAGCTGGAAAAGACCTTTTAGAAATGAGTTATTCAAATAATCAGATATCCTTTTCTAAAAAAAAAAAAACTAACAAGTTTAATCTCAGAGGCAACTGATAGAGTATGTGTTATTAATAGAGCCATGAATACTGTGTGTAATTATTTGACCATTTCTGGCATTAAAACAACCTCCCAAAATATTAAGCAGGCATCTTGTTTCTGACCTTGTACAACATCAAAGCTTCATAAGGCTAAAGAAAACCAAAACAAAATGGTTTGCATAAGGAAATGAGGAAATAATCCAAGGGCAAAAGGAAAATGATTACTACTACTAAAAAGGAGTCACAGCATCCTTCCTTGAAAGGGGGAGGGAGGGAATCACAGGGAACAATGTGTTTTGTATACGTCTCCAACATTTTGCTGCTTTTTCTGTAACTTCTAGTACTGTATTTCAGATTAACCACTGGGACAGAAAATACACCTGTATTTTAAAATTCATTGAGAAATGACTACTGTTAACTTTTTCTCCACAACTGTGATTCTATACAAGATATAAACCCTGCATACCTTATGTACTACCTGACAGATAAATGTAGCAGGAGCCAGACACTTGAAGCAGATAACATACACTTGAGACTGATTTCTACAAAGTCTAGGAAAAGCAATGACTCCAGTGTGCATTGTCGATGCACATGACAGCCAGCATATTATCATTCACCTCTGGCTGAGGCCCTGCTGTCTGCATGGGCCCAGTTAGTTTTTAGGGAATCTCAAATTAGGTAATATATGAGGAGCATGATTAAGAAAGCACATCATACACACTGCACAAGCAGCTTCAAGAAAGTTTCCTCCTGCAATACATACTTACTGTGCTCCTTCTGTTCAGACAGATCCAAGGGCCACTTTTCAAGAAGCATTCCTCATTCCATTCACTCAAGAAGTCTAGCTAACTTTTTTACTATTGCTTTTCTTTTACCTGTTTTTTGCCTATGCTTGTTAAACTCAATTTGTTGAACTTTTTACATTTCCTAATGGAACAAAAAAATCTTAGCATAGTTTACTGCTGGTCTCTCCAAACCCTCTCACTGCTGGAACCAAGAAGCCACATGAGGTGCTGCTATGGTACACCTCACAAGCTACATGCCCATCTTCAAAATGAAAACCACCTTTAAGTCCTCGTGCTGCCATTATGCAGGATCTGAACACCATCTCATTCCAGTACAAGCCACACCCTCAACTCTCAGGAATGCCAGCCCCTCTGGACAGTAAGTTACTAAGAAACTATTCAACTGGATGGAAAACAAAGAGGAGGAGAACCCAGTGCATCAATAAAATTATGTCATAAAGGATTAACCCTGTATGAATAAAGCAAGGAGAATAAATATTTACTCCCAACCCTCCTTCAACCCCAGAATAGCCAAAGTGGCAACTCAGTGCTCTGAGGAAGGAAGTTAAGGACATACACTTGCACAAACAATACTCTGAACCAAAAGAACCTATGAAAGCCTAGCAGGAAATGTGGCCAAATGTTCCTCTTCAAATTGGGAGAGTGGAGAGGTGGAACAGACAAGTTTCAGAGAACAGGCATTGAAAAACCACCTCGGGAAAGCAGCACAGCGATGGATCTCAGCGACCATGAGATGGATCCTCAGGACAGTGACTCACCAGCTCAGCACAGGGGTCCACATCAGGGGCCCAGGCTTCAGTACAGGGACACAACCACACTCCAAAGCTGCTTCCTCAATCGTTATGGCAATCATTTGCCAATGACCTACACAGAGGTAGATCTCAAGGGGAATCATTACCCCAGTGAACAATATTTTCCTCACCATCCACTGACACAACAAATGGTTTTGCTCATTAACAATGCTCTGACAGTTGACATCTTTCATGATCCTAGAGGGATAGCTATTGAGTGGTTTGTTGGCTTTTGTCCTTAAAATCACAAAAAATGATGTGTGTAGTGGCAGTACCCACATGTGCTTAAGTGCCAGAAAACTGGCATTTTCAAGTGTCAAAAGGCCATGCATCATTATTCCACAGCTTAACCCTAATAGTGCTTGGCCCTGAAGAGTGTTAACCCAAAAAGCTCTTTGAACATATGCTCATTAAAATTCATTGACTTACATTACAATCATCCACGTAACGTAAGGAGAAACTGTCACGTGGAGGATCCAATGGGCATGTACTTAGAGCTCGTCCACAAGATTAAAACACAAAGAGATTGTAGGTGCACACCCAAGCAGAGGGAAATGTCCAATCTGGGAACTTCTCCTTCAGAGCATCCAGTTGGGAGGATCTCTTGTCATCCCCAGATAGATAGTGTGCAGCAATGGCCACAGTGACCATTCCTTCAGGATGTTCCTCTGAGACCTGCCAAAGAGAATCAGTTAGTTCTCTAGTTCTGAAGCCAAGGTTCTTGCTAAATACCACCTGGGAACCTGATCAATGAAACAAGCAATGCTGGGAAATGCACACCTGTACTTCTATCCAGAACTGCCATGCAGAGGCCTGGAGTCCATGGGAGTAAAATACGAAGTAGTCCCCTCCTTTACTTGTGACTGGAGTGCCATTGCCAAGAGACCACTGAGAAAGTGTTGAGCCTTTGTGGGCTCGAACATAGAATGACATATGGCTTGGTCCTGTAAGATAAGAAGAAGAAAGAACAGTTAAATCAATCTTTTAAAATGCATCAATAGAAAACAGCAATTAACCCACCACCCAAACCATAGTATGAACATTCATGCCTTGTATCACTTTTAAATATACTCATTATAAACCTAATGGAGGTTCACCAGTTTGGACATCCAGTGTGTATCAAAGTTAAGCAATGAAGCACAGCAGAAAAGGCACAGAATCTAAATGAGAAGGCCTGTGTTAAGTCGTGGGCCTATCACTCAGTTGCTGCACAACATTAGGAATTTATTTAATCTCTTTTGGGGGATCATTAGAAGAAGCATGTGAAAGTGTTGAGAAACTGCAACATGCTATTATAGTACTGAATAGGATTAATATTATGAATAGAGTTGTAATTTTCAGATAGTTGATATGTAACCCCTAAAATATTTTTTACTAGTTTTTCCCTTTAAGCAGGAAGATGAAACATCAGCTCAGTTCTGACAATTTAATCATCACCATGGATTTCCAAGGAAACTGACAACAGTGGCAGTCAAACCAAAATTAGAATAAAGAGCCAGGCAACAGAGGCTCACACCTATAGTCAGAACTACTCGGGAGGCTGAGGCAGGAAGGTCGCTTGAGGCCAGGAGTTCAAGAACAGCCTGAGTGACATAGTGAGATCCCCATCTCTAAAAAATTAAATAAATAAAACTATATAAAAACAAGATCCTCAGCCTAACTTGAAGACAAAACATACCCAAATGTCAATCAACCATAAATTTAAAAATCTCAGGAAACAATCTCCCATGCTTGTGCCCACCTTGCTCATGCTGCAAGGCTTTGTGGCAAAGTAAATCCACCCTGAATCTGAAAATACTGTGTCCAGTTAGAACAAGATTTACATGAAAGAGACTTAAGTATACACTGTTTGAGGTGTCAGTCTTCAAAAGTGGCTTCTAGGGGACAAATAAAGGGAAGGAGGGGCATCCTTGGGCATTTGGGTAGTGAAGGTGAAAGAAGCAAAAGGGGAAAACTTAAGGGTCCTGAAAGACAAAAGCAAAACAAAAAAAAATATGATGTGTAATTTACCCACATCGAAGTAAATATTAAAGAATCCAGAGTTTGTTATACTGACAGAAAAGCAAGCCATTGGCTGGGAATCTTACAAAATACCCAATACCACAAAAATGAGGAAGAAAGGATAGAAAGATCCATACAGTTAAAAAAAAAACATCAGAAAATGAGAATCAAAACATCTCAACTGAAGAAAATTCTGCAGGGGGTGTGGGTAGGGACCATGAAACAGAAGAAAACTCTAAGGCAACCCTCCAAGCTAAATTAAATACACTCCCACAAACATTTGAAGATACAAAAATCCCTACCAGGAATCGGAAATTCTAAACCTTAAAGTAGACATACTACCAGGAGAGATTAAAAGGACTGATTGAACTCAGGAATGAAACAGAAGAAAAAGGCAAAATTACCTTAGAAATGAAGGCTAAATTATAAGATGCCCAAGGCAGGATAGATTCAAATGAAAATTTAATAATGGGCATTAAAGAGAAGCAGGGAAAATAAAAATTAGAAAAAGACCTTAATAAAAAGGTCAGAGAGAGGTAAAAATGGAAGGCAAGTCAAAAAGAAATAACATTCACTTAATTTGCATCCCAGAAGAAGAAAAACAAAACAATGAAATAGAACTAATATTTAAAATTATATTCCAAGAAAACTTTCAAGATACAAAAGGAGACCTGAATCTACACATTGAAAGAGCATACTGGGCACCTTAGAATAGCGGTCCGCAACCTTGTTGGTGCCGGTGAGAGGGAGGCGGAGCTCGGGCGGTGATGCCAGCAATGGTGAGCACTGTAAATACAGATGAAGCTCCCTTGCGCTGCTCACCTCCTGCCATGCAACCTGGTTCCCAAGTTTCATGGATGATAATTTTTCCATGTATAGGGGTGGGGGGAGATGTAGAACTCAGGTGGTGACGTGGTCCAGGGGTTGGGGACCTCAACCTTAGAAGATTAACCGAGAACAAACGACTTCAAGAAATAACCTAGTAAAACTATTAGATTTCAAAGGAAAAAAATCTCAAATACTTCATGGGGCAAAAGAATTAACACTGGTATCAGACTATATAAAAATGATATATAAAACAAGGTAACAATGGAACAGTGATTTTTGAAAAACTCACTGGAAATTGTAAGCCAAAGATTTTTGTGCCCACCAGCTTGTCCTTCAAGTGTCAAGGCTATAGAAAAACAATTTTAAACATACAAAAACATAGCACTCATAAGCCCTTCTTCAGAAGTCTAGAGCTGCAGTCCCCAACTCCTGGGCCACAGACTGGTACCAGTCCATGGCCTGTTAGAAACTGGGCCGCATAGCAAGAGGTGAGCCAAAGAAGCGTCATCTGTATTTACAGCTGCTCCCCGTCACTCACATCACCACATAAGCTCCGCCTGTCAGATCAGCAGCGGCATTAGATTCTCATAGGAGCACAAACCCTACTGTAAGCTGTACATGCGAGAGGGATAGAGGTTGTGCCCTCCTTATGAGAATCTAATGCCTGATGAGCTGAGGTGGTGATGCTGGTGCTGGGGAGTGGCAGCTAATGCAGATTATCATTATCAGAGAGGTTTGACTGCACAGTAAATATAATGCACTTGAATCATTTCGAAACCATCCCCCCCAGCCATGGAAAAACTGTCTTCTATGAAACCACTCCCCAGTGCCAAAAAGTTTGGGGACCGCTGGTCTAGAGGATAAGCTTCATCCAACCAAGAAATAACTGCAAAATTTTCAGCAAAAGAACTTGTTATAGTGAGGACTTTAGTATACGTATTACTGAAACAAATTTTGTGGTGAGGATGGAAGACAAATGTACAAATACTACATGTTGTAACAAAAGTTGGGAGGAAATGAGAAAGGAAAACAGGAAAGTAGAATAAGCAAACAGTTGTAAAGGCTAATTGGTGCAAGTTAAAAGAATACCATTTAAAACTAACAGTAAAAAGTTAAATAGGAGATTAAAACAAATATAAACATTCATAAATACTGGAAAATAAATCTTTTAAAGAACAAAGAAGAAATGTCATAGAAAATTACATATAGCAAATAAACATATGTAATTATAAAATATTGTGACAGTTGAGACCAAATGTCTCAGTCAAAAAAATAAATGTAAACAGATCTAACTTACCCACTAAAATTCTGAATATCTATGCATGAAATAATATAGCAACTACTTTATAGAGAAAACTACAGGAGATACAAGAAGAATACATATACTGAGACACACCAATAAGAGATTTCAATATTCCACTCAGTATAAGACACATAAATTGAACAAAATATAAATAATGAGATAAAAGACCTAAACATAATGATCAACGAAGTAGATCATATAGATATATACAGGTTGAGAATTCCATATCCAAAATGCTTGAGACTAGAAGTATGATTCATATTTTGGAGTTTTTTGGAATATTTGCATTTACCCAATGGGTATCATGCAGTCCTTTTTTACATTCTCAATAATATCTATACCACAGAGCAGAGAATAAGCAAAAAAACACAGTGAGTAATGCACACAAGTCTAAGCCCCATGTGAGGCATCATGGGGGACCTGCCATTCGTGCATCTGGGCTGCACGTGCGCCGTTTATACCTTTTATGGGCGTGCTTGCATGGAGGAATCTGTGTGTGCAAGGAAAAGACATACAGCAGCTGAAGGAGATTGGGAGGGCCTTTTCCCCCTAAGAATGCTGAATAAACCATGTCTTGTGCTACTGTGTTTAGACTGCTACCTGTCATATGAGGTCAAGTCTGAAACTTTCCATTTGTAGTGTCATATCAGTACTCAAAAACTTTCAATTTATAGCATTCAGGATTTTGGATTTTCAGAATAGGGATGTTCAACTTGTATATATCAAACTTTATGTACTGATAATACCTTTCTCAAGTGAACATGAAACATTCATAAAATCAAATATTGGGTCATACAGGAAATACCAGAAAGTTATATAAAATTGAAATATTATCAACACTGATCATAATTTAATGAAATCTGAAGTTATTAATAACAGCTTCCATCTAGAAATTAAAAGGTCTTCTACTAAAGATTCATCTGTGAAAGAGGAAGTACAAATTTAAGTCATTTTTTAGAATTTTACTTTACTGAAAAAAAACTGTTATGAATTATCCTGTTATCACTGCTTTCATTTATCTAATAGTATCTTTTTAAAAAGTCTATAATTTAAGTTCATTAAAAAGGGGATGGGGGAAGGGGAGTAGAGCAGAGAAAACACAAGTATATAAAAAGATAACAAAATTATTTAAACAAAAATTTTTTAAATCACATGATTACTTTGCAGGCCTCTATATACCAATAAATTTGAAAAACGAAATCAGTAATTTTCTAGGAAACTACATATTACCAAAACTGAACACATTACAGATATAAAGTTTAAACAGACCAATTTCCCTAGAAAAAGTTATTAAGGAACTACCCCACCAAAAAAGACTCCAGGCCCCAGTGGACTTCATAGCAGAATTCAAACCAACTTTTCAACCAAAATAGTTCCAATATTCCATAAATTGTCCCAAGGCAGTGAAAAGGAAGGAAAACTAATTATTTGTTTTTTATGAAGTATAACATAAACACCTAAATCTGAGGAAGAACAAAGAAAAAACACCATTATCATCCCTAAGTATTGATGTAAAATTTCTCAAAAACATTAGCAAACAAAATCCAAGATCACATTGAGAAAATAATAGGCTACAAAAAGAGATACTATGAAGAATAATCCTATGATTACCTTTGTAGATGCTGGGGAAAAAAAAAAAAACACAAAAAACCTTTCACAAAATTAAACACCCCTTCCTTATTTTTAGAATTCAAGAAATGACAATTGGTGAGTGCTTGTTGAACATGATAAAAAATATATATCTTTTTTATGTAAGATATGTAAGATATCAGATATGTAAGATACATATGAGAAAACACTAGAGACCTTTGT